CTTTCCAGCTGAATCCATAACAGTGTTGCAAATGAGAACATGTAACATGCAGACGATGTACAAGATTCTCCAACTCTGCTCCACCCCATTGCCCCTTCAATGATGGATTCCCAACTGCTATTATAAGCTTCCCCCTGAACTAGGACGATCTAGTAATAGCTAGATCTTATTGAGGGCATTTTACGGGAGACCTACCGGGGTAGCATACAAAATGGGGGGTAGTGGGGGAACCCATGCTTCGTTTTTTTAAGTTTTGAATTGAGCAGGTGCTGCTAATTCTTCATCCTCAGCCTATGCTCATCCGAGCCTGGGTCAACAGCGGGGCTTTAGACAGCAAAGCCATAGACAATCCGTCAGAGGAACATAAAAACAACCAGGCGCACAGATATGAGGAACTGCTACATCATACGCGAGGCCACTACTAGTTGAAGACTTCTGTTTGCTTCTAAGTGTTTGCAGCTGTCTCTGTGCAGGAGCTGGCAAACGAGGTGCAGCGCCAGGCACGTTATATACATTTTTCTAATTGCTGTTTGTGCAAAGCCTCCATATCAACAGGGGCGTTGGAGAAATGGAAAATTGGGCATGGTTCTGAAGCTGGTGGTCGATTTAAAAGGGATAGGCTGACCTCTGCCGGCGCCCAAAATCCAAACACATCATGCGGGCCCTTTTCCATCATCGGGCCTGATCCTCTGTAAGAGGCATCCCTGACACATTTTTGGGGGCATCTTCATTAAAGAAGATTCGACACTCATTTTCAAGTCATGTGCGCATTGGCGCGTCAACGTCGTGGGCTCACTGCCCTCGAGTCCGTGAGTCGAAGCCTCTACGTTATGTCTGAACATACGGTGGACACCAAAAATCCTGCATGACCCTAAGTATTCGATACGTTGGAACCTAATCATGGTAATTTCGCATTTTAATAAGGTCATGCAGGACTTCGAGTAGTTGAGATAAGCAACTTCGTGTCCCGATGAGATTTTGCATTGCTGCTTTCTGTGGATCAGACGTCGAAAAGAGCTCTAGATCTCTCCCTTTTTAAGGACCCTAAACGTCAAAACGTTAACCCTAAACCCTAAACCTTTAGGCACAATGCTCAGGGCGCCAGACCCGGGATCTACAAAGCTTAGACTGCTCTGTGTCTCCACTGGTCGTCATGTTGCACTGCCATGCAGATGGTTTGGTAGTGGGTGCCTGAGCTCGGCTCTAGAGACCGCATGCCTGAACCCTAAACCCTAAATAGTATTCATCATCCCTATATAACCCCAATGTACTATATAGTAGTTTCCATTTTCTTTTCCATTCTCCCTGTATAACTCCTTTAACCCCGCATATAACCCTTCGGGGGAAAAAACTGCAGTAGGAGATTTTGCGGCCTCAGGCAGTGAACCCCGAGAGGCATCCATCACAGAACATCTTGAAGCCTTTATTGGGTTTAGGGTTTAGGGGGGATTTATAGGGTTGGGATTATAATCGGGTATAATGTTGGGGCTATATAGGGATAATGGAAACGAACATGGAAACTACTATATTATATGGGGCGAATATAGGGATTATATGGGGGTTATATAGGGATATTGGGGCTCTTATTGGGATAATATCATTGCTCTCTCAAGTGGTCTTGGGCATCACCAATTTCAGGGACTCTACAACCCACCTGGGCCATAATCTAAACTCCTTAAAGGGGTTATATGTTTGATTATATAGGGGACCACTGTAGGGGTTGTTGAGGGGATACTAGGAGTTTAGACCCCATAAGCCCTAAACCCTGAATCCTAAGCCCTACACCCAATAATCGGGGTTATTACGTGGGATACTAGGAGTTTAGACTATAACTCACCTCAGCCTGCCGCAACTTCGGCTCTCCCAGCGGAGGAGATGCAAAAGACCATGCAGAAGAGCATGCGCAAGAGCCGCAGCTCCAAGCTTAGCTTCGTGTAGGTTCGAGAGAGTTTAGGGTTTTGGCTCAAGATTATGGGGTTTTCTGGGAATAAGACGAACTAGAGAAGCGGTATACTACTTTATCTCTGAAGAGGCAGTCAGGAAGGCGTTCATTTTGAAATGTAGTCAGGTGCTGGTTGGCCGGCTTGCCTAGTCCCGTTGTTGAAGCTCGCACACATGCCCTCTTAGGGTTTGAGTTTGGGGCTTAGGGTCTAGGGTCATGGCCTCATTGAACATGACTACCACAAGTTCGAAGGTATAGCCCCCTTAGGTAGATAGAATATGGGGTATATGGGGATAGTATTATGACATTGGGGAATTCCAGATTTTATCTACTAAAGGGGGGCTAGAGTTCGAAAGTTTAAGTGCTTGTGGTCCTGCAGGATGTTGAGCTTAATCATCCTAGAGTTTTTCTGAGGACAATAACCCTATAGTACTGTTCATTTTCTTTTCCATTCCTTCATGCCCAGTTAACCAAAGGTAACCTCTACATACACCCAGTTTCCATTTAATTTTCCATGTTTTTTCAATTTGATTCTCCACTATTGGGGGATATACCTATATATCCCTTTAGAGGGACCTACGATTTCCTTGTCATTTTCCATTTGATGCTCCATCATTGGGGTAATATCCCTAAACCCCAAACCCTAAACCCCAGTTTCCATTTCATTGTCCATGTTCTTGTCCATTTGATGCTCCATAATTTGGGAAATTTACCCCTTCAATATGTATGGCAGACAGCTGTCCCTGGAAGTTCTCGAGATCTTGGGGTGAAGCAAGGAGAGTATAGTCCCCCTAAAGTAGATAGAATATGGTGTTATACTAAGATCACCATGTACCTCACATTCTATCTACTTAAGGGGGACTCTAGACTTTGTGTAGCTCAGCATTTAAGACTTCCTCTTAGCATCCCGAGGCTTAGGAGACCCATGCTGAAACCACAGCTTAGTGAAGTCGAGTAGAACCTTCTTGTGAAGACTTCAGCTTAACACGGCTGTGTGAAGTTGCGGAGGCATGCAGGATATACAAGTGAAGCTGCAGGAGTTCAAGTCTTGCAGTATGTGGGGTCGATGTGGGTGCGGCACGGTTGTGAAGTCTTATGTCTTTTGTCGTTCTGTTCAGTAGCATGCGTTGTACCCCTGCAACGTGCTCAGACTTCATTTGGAGTCTGAAGGCCCGCGGTGCTAGACACAGTGCTAGACATTTCTTCTTGAGGGTATGCGATGTGACGAAGTACATGCCACCTAGCTATGGTTCTTTAGGACAGAGCCTTGAGGCAGTGGCATTTATTCCTGCTTTGGCATGCTTGTTTGAATGGCTTCCACAGGGTCGTGCTAATCATACCAAAAACATTGCACAACCACCGCGTCCCAAGTCCCGAGATCCTGGCCACAAGCTGTGCTCCAGGCACGCCATCACTGGGCAACACGCAGGGCAGCTCGCTGGGGAAGAGATAGGGCTTCAGGAAGACGCAAGGGCTTAGGATTAGGATGAGGAATCTTCACCAACAGAAAGGCTAAGAGTAAGATTTGGATATCCGCTGTGCAGTCCACATAACATCAGAGCCCTGCTTGCCGATCATCAAATTTCATTAATTAGATTGTGGTTTGTGGATTATTGCTTGTCGTGCATGTGCGAAATCCGGCGAAGAATTTCGACAAGAGATATGCGCGGGACAAGCCCGTGACAAACATAACGAGGGAACAAGCTTGGGTAGCCACCATGAAATCAAAGGGATTGTGACAAGCATCATTTGGGTCCTTTAATCTGTGATCTGGACACTTCCCCGCATGTCATCAGTTGTTTGTTGCTAGTTTCCATGTTGTTTGCATTTCCCGAAGCCCTAAAAATTATCCCTACCTTAACTTTGAACCCCTAAACAGTGGTTTCCAACTTCTTTTCCATTCCTTCTTTCTCTACCGACAACCCTGACAACCCTCAGCCCAGAAATCTCTATGCAGCCCCAGCTTTCCATGTCATGTGCCGTTTCATTTTCCATTCCCCTATACATCCCTAATCACAACTCCTGAACCCTGTAGTCCCCCTTAAGTAGATAGAATATGGGTCTGGGTATATTACAATAAGATCCCCATATGCCCCACATTCTACCTACTTAAGGGAGACTATAACCCTAGAGGGTTGGCACGGCGAAGCCAGCTGCCAAGCTGTTTCACCTGCTCCGCCGAACGGCGGCGACAGCAGAGGAAAACGTGAACAGAAGTTGCCTTGAAGCTCTTCATTTGCGGCTTCTCTGTCTCTCTCTCTCTCTCTCTCTCTCTCTTTGTCTCTCTCTCTCTCTCTCTCTCCCTCTCTCTCTCTATTTCTATTGATCTAAATGAAAATGTTGTTTCCTCTGGATGCCAAACAAAATTACAGCCTTGCTCACTAAAAGCCTGAAACTCAAAGACTAGGAGCTTGCTGAAGGCACACGTGAAACACCCTCACGCAATTTTCCTGTCTGCAAAACTACGGCTCTTTCGAGCATACTCTTCAAGAACATGACGTTGTTGAAGCCGGGGAAGACCTACATCATATTCCCCGCGTTCTCGGAGATGTCAGGTTGACATGAGCAATATTGCTCGAACTCCCGAGACTTGAGGCTGTGTCAGCAGAGCTTCTAGGTCAACTTTTGTGCAGGAGCTGGGTAAAGTACATGATGGGTGTGCTCGGTGTGGTTTTGGGAGTCCACGACAATGTTCGGTTTTGTAGGAAGTCTCACAGAGGCACGCTGATAGTGTGTTTTGTCGCGGTGTAGATACGTGAGCTGGTTGAGAGAGACCCGGTTGAAGTGCATCCTGAACTTTTCTTCGGTGCGCTGCTTGGTCCAATTCAGCTTGGGAAGGCCTTGCACTCTACATGCTGCAGGCCGAATAGTAGTACTAACAGGAATGAGACATATCAATGCTGTATATAAGCAATATAGCATATGATACATATCCTGAATCTGCATTTCAGGTCCAGGCAGACAAGTTGCCGGGCTTAGATGACGGCAGCACTTTGTGTGGTCCTTCAGGATTTGTTCTTGCATAGCTCTTGCGGCACACACGCGCACCTTGGACAACATGTCGGACGACGGCGAGCTGAAGCCAATGGAAACCGAGCCTGAAGAAAGGCCATGCAACAGAGACTGTAAATTGGATTACAGAGTTCTTTAGGGTGTGGGGTATTTGACGCACAATGATTGGGAATCAAATGGAAAAGAACATGGACAGTTAAATGGAAACTTCTATTTCGGGTTTAGGGATGCTATCGGCAAACAGAGAAGCACATGGAAAACACAATGGAAAGTGGTGTGATACGGATAGGGCTTATTTGGAACAGAAGGGTCTGGCCAGAACTAGGGTCCCCGTGTTTGGAGGTCCCTGCAATCAGGAGGATCGTAGAATATTCGGGTCTGCATTGACGCCCTCTAGATATGGACATCCCGATGTATTAACAGGAGGTAAGCAGAAGTCGTAGCACTGTGGGAAGGGTTCTGCGCTTGCACTGTAGGAAGAGTCAGAGCAGGCACAAAATCGAGCCGAAGTAGAAGCAGGTCGCAGTGGTTGTTTTATCACGGCTGTGTCGATGCCTACGGAGAAGGGTTGGATCTAGCTATCTGCAGGGTTTGCCAGTTGGAGACACTTGCTTCGCTCAGGGAGGCAGGCTGAGGGGTTTCACGCGCATGGGGATCTGATCCTAGTCTAGCTGCTTCTCAAAAGGGTTGCAGACATCCGAAGGGATACCCAGTGGTTCCTGCTGGAAGCAGTCCTGAACAAGTTTGGAGGAGCCGAAGCCAGTTAAAAGGATATCAATGTCACGTGATGGCATTGCGCACCCTGAAAAGGGCTTCGTACTCATTTATAAATGCCTCCCTGGGTTTCTCATATAGATCCTTGGCGTCATCAGTCTACAGGAATTCAAGCATGTGCATCGCAACACAGGACCGTGAAAGAGGCTTTTAACTCTTCGCTCCAAGGGATGTAACGTAGTCATCCGCTCCCCCACAATATTGAACCTCTTCACTGCCCGATAACGGGTTTTTTCCCCATTCTATATGAAGATACTACATGAGCGCAATTTATGTTTTAGGTTTGAGAGTGTTATTACGACGCCGTTATAGAGCATGGCTAGAGCAACCCCGCACCAGCTTCAAGAAGTTCTCTTCAAATCCACATCTTGCGCCTCCATTATTGTCCTCCAAGCCCTGTATCAACACCCACAACAAATGGATCCAGAAACTCCAGCCCTAACAACCGAAGCCTCCTAAGAGCCTACACCCTTGTGTCTCGCAGGCCACCAGCCTCACCACCGGCCGCCTCGGCCGCAGCGGCGAAAGAACTTCCAGCCTCAGCTGAGAAGGAGCCTCCGGCTTCTGCAGAGAAGGAACCCCCAGCCTCTGCAGAGAAAGAGCTCGACGAGTATTTGGAAGGAGCCTCGTGCCCGGGACTTGGAGGCCTTGTTTTTGATGCTGTCAGCTTCAGTGAAGAGGGCCCGAGGGCATGGGAGCTAAACCCAACTCCCTCAACCAAAGCAGCCGCATAACCCAGAGCTGGCACCAGTACTATTTGTAGACTAGGGTCCAAAGTAGGCAGTATTGATTAGGCTTACATGCCCTCGAGGTTGGAAAAGCTTCGAGGACGTGGAGGACGAGGCGAGATGGGGATTGTCTCAACAAGATTTGCGGTAACTGCGCGTGAAGTGCGATGCCTTCCGGGCCTCGGTATCGCCATAGGGTTACCTGTTCAAGCCCCCATGTTATTCTTATTCCGATGATGTTTTTTGAGTTGATCCTGTAGTTAGGTAAAGACATGCCTGCGCCTAGGATGAGCCCCGTGATGTAGTTGATGAACGGAGATCAAGTGCTCCAGCGTATCACCTGAAAAAGAACGATGGCTTTGGATTTCGGGCTTAGGACGGTTTGGGGTCTGGAGCTTGGACACTGGACCAGCTGTGCTTGGGTAATGATTAGGATGTCGTTTCTGCTGCAACTAGCCAGCATAAGATGGCCAGCCGCTCTTGTGACGGAGCTCCGGTCCTTTTGCTTGGAAGCGTAGTGCGTGCGCTGTGACAGTCTGCAGGTGCACTACTTGCGCCACCGCGGAGATGCGTTGGTCAGAACCTGAACTGTCTGAGTATCCCAGGTTTGCCGATGCAGCCCTAAACCCATAAATCCCTAAATCCCAAAACCCTAAACCCCTAAACCCTGAACCCCTAAACCCCTAAACCCCTAAACCCTAAACCATCCTAAGCCCTAAACCCCAAACCGGCTTTGGGCTTTGGCCTCCGGCCCCCCTGACAACTGACAGCCTTTCACCTTCAGCACGCCACAAGGTTTGGCCCCCAAATGCTTCAAAGCCGCACCATTCCTGCAAGATTGCTCCATTATTTCTCTATGCATATGCCCCCAAGTGTACCATTCTCCACATGTTAAGCCTCCTTTTGTGGCATGATGTTGGGTCCGTGTTGGGAATGTCGCAGGGTCCTTCATACCCTCTGACTTTACTCTTTGGTGCAACCTATGGGGTATATGCCTGAAATCATTTAAAACAACCAGGCTGGTTGCTTGTTCGAAGTCGTGGGCAAAACCAATCCATCCATCGTCACAGCTGCCATTTCACGCTGAGTGGCTTCATGTCGAAGACCTCAACCCCTATGGCAATAGTAGTAACCATAATTATAGTAATAGCAAGTATACAGTAAAGTAAGAATAGTCATGAACATCGTAGTAGAAATAGTAGTACTTGTTATTATTGTAGCAATAGTAAATAGTACTGTAGCATCCGTGTGGAGACATTGTTTACCGGATGCTTCGTGTTTGGAGTGCTGCAGGCCAAGAAGTGGCATCAATACCTGTTGCAGAGTTAACAGATGTGCGCAGCCTCAAGCGGTATCTGCAAGGGATTTGTGGAGTGACGAGATTCAGGCAGAGGCTCGTGGATAAGCACGAGACTTGGGATGACATGCTGAAACTGGACTCACCGGCTGACCTGCAACTCGCAGTGCTGCCGTTTAGCAATGCGACAGACGATGCATCTATACAGCAGTGCATGAAGCTGGCAGATGCTGCTCACCGCGGCATCCTTCATCTCGTTGAGGAGCTTCTGCAGCTGCCGCTGCATCCAGACGGCATCCAGCATCTTGAGAGTCGCAGCAAGAGACGTCGCATAGAGGCCAGGGACCCATTATTTCGAGACCCGCCTCTCTTCTGGGCGTGCAAAAGGGGAAACACGGAAGTCGTTCGCTTGCTGTTGGAAGCTGGGGCTCCTATCCCTGACGCCGCGCTGGCCGCGGCCTCCAGCAATGGCCACGCTGACGTCGTCTGCTTGCTTCTGCAGGCGGGTGCTTCTGTGAATGATGCTGGGCACCACGCGCCACTTGCAATGGCATCAGCAAATGGCCACATCGAGATTGTGCGAGTGCTTCTACAGGGTGGAGCAGACCCTGCACAGGATGGCAGCGCATTGACGAGTGCGTCCCTCCACGGCCACACAGAGATTTTCAAACTGCTTTTGGAGTCCCGCGCAACTGTGGACAATCCTGGAAGCTGTGGAGAGACACCTCTGACATCAGCTTGTGGCGCAGGATGCAACCAAACCGTTCAGATGTTGTTGGAGGCAGGTGCTGACAGCAGCAAAGCTGCGCGCCTCCACACACCTCTTGGTGCAGCCATTGTCAACGGACATAAACGCGTGGTGCAGGGGTTATTGGAGGCCGGTGCTGATATTGACAGTGTCAAACCTGGAGGCACTACGCCTTTAGGCCTGGCAGCGCGCCAGGGCTTTCTTGAGATCGTGCAATTTTTGCTTGAGGCTGGAGCAGACAAAGACAGGGTTGGATTGGGAGGCTTGACTCCAATCTGGTTGGCTTCTCGGGAGGGCCACGTGGACATTGTTCGCCTTCTGTTAGAGGTACGGGCTGACAAGGATGAGGTTTGCGGCCCTCATCATGCCACACCTTTGTGGGTAGCATGCCGCGAAGGCCACACGCCAGTTATAAATTTGCTCCAAGCCGCTGGTGCTCGCAAAGCCTCGGCGGAGTGCGACGGCACCAGACCCGTCGAGACAGGGGTGTAGGGTTTAGGGTCCTGCGTTGCAATGCCAGATGACCTCGGAGCATCCAACCTCATCAGACACCACATCTTCACAGGACGCTTAGTCTGGCGGAGGCCGTGCCATCTTTCAAGCAGCTTCCCAGACTCAGGCACCTGTGCCTGTGCCAACCATGTTGATCCTTGGCGAAAATGAGAGGTTTGATTTCAACGTGTTACCTTTCACGGAGTTCATAGTGTTAGCCATGAAGCCCTTCAAAACCCAGATACAAGCTTTGAATCGCTATGCGGAACTGTGTACGCCCGTATACTTGTCGAGAACATGGTAGGTCCCTTCAGAACAGCTGCTTGGAGGCCAGTGTAGTCAGAAGTCGGGGTTGAATGACATGACATGCTTCACTACTCCCTAAACCCTAAACAGTAGTGCCCGTTTCATTTTCCATTATCCCAGTATAACCCCAATATTACCCCAAGATATACCCTATTATGATATAATAGTTTCCATTTTCTTTTCCATTATCCCCATATAGCCCCTATGTAACCCCCTATATAACCTTATATATTCCTTTAAAGGGACCTAGGGTTTCCATTTTCTTTTCCATTATCCCAAGATAACCCTACAATGGCACCTCCCTAATCTCTGAGCCCTAAACCCGAGAAGGCAGCCCAATCCTTCGTCCTACATACTGTACTTCCCATCACTGCATACGTACATAAGTGTGCATATGTCCCTGTATATACTGTATACATATATATAATATGTATTTGATAATTCCCTAGTGGTGCTTGGCGGAGTGAATTTAGGTACCCTTATAGGGGTACATATGGGGATTCTATAACGATTTTTATTGGGATCCACTCAATCACTCTCCCTAAACCGTGAACCCTAAACCCCAAACCCTCAACTGCATAGATGTCTGGAGTTAAGGCCAGGGGCCTCTTGGCTGCCAGGGAGGAGATTGCTCACCTTCACGAGGCGCGGCTGGCTTGGGGGGTTTCAGGGTTTAGGCAGGGAGGGCCGGATTAGTTTTTTGACTTCAGAGTTTTAGGGTTTACCGTTTGGATAAAACCATAACCCCAATATATACCATAGGGATCCAAGGATATTACTTTTTTGACTTCAGGGCTCTTAAGGTTGACCGTTTGGGGCTGGGGGTGGTGCTTGAATAATGGCTCCACGTAAGGCCAGTGATGGTTCTGTATGCTGGCTGAAAGATGACTGTGGACCCTGAAAATCCTGGCGCACAGTGCCGTGAAGCCCCACCCGCAGGTAGCCTAAACCCTAAACCTTAGGTCGATTCCCCCCTGCAGTAATAGCTCCTGAATATGGAGCTAATAAGGCCTTAATATGTGTAGTTCCCAAGATTAGGATCCCATTTTGGTACCCCTAAATATTAGGTGCCGTAACATAATCTACAACCAAAAGGGGCCCATGATTTTGGGAACTACCCATGTACCTACAATATTTTTTGGTACCCATCTGCTGGGTGGGGGACTGACCCCAAAACCCCCAACCCTAAACCCTAAACCCCTAAACCCTAAACCCCAAAACCCCGTCTGATTTTGAAGTTCAGGCGGGCCACCGATTGCGGCGGCCTCGGAGGGATGGATTCCTAGGGTCTAGGGTCTAGGGTTTAGGGGTTTAGGGTTTAGGAATTGAGGGTTTAGGGGTTTAGGGGTTTAAGGGTCTAGGCTTTAGGGTTTGGGCGTTTAGGGTTTAGGGGTTTAGGTCCTGTAGAGGCTCAGAGGACTTGCTGGGAGCGTTAGGGATAAAAAGAAAATGGAAACTGCTATAATGGGGTTCTATGAGCCATAGTCAAAACTCCTAAAAAGAGTTACATAGGTGATTATATAGGGGGACTACTATAGAGCTTATTAAGGGAAATACTGGGAGTTTAGACTATAGCGTATATAGGAGGGTTGAGGTTACACAGGGATCCCCATCTGCTTTTGCGAGCTATGCATGAAACTTGGAGCAAGGAAGCATCTGTTTGAAGTGGCACAGGCACAATATGGTCAATTAGCGCTTCATGTTTGCTGGGCCTTTGTAGATTACAGTCCCTATACGGGGATCTCATTTTGACATACCCAAAGCCATATTCTATCTACTTAAGGGGACTATAACATTATGAGTGCTCAAATAATTTTCACTGGTTCTTATTACCACCTTTGTGATTCGTATCAGGGTTAGGCTCAGATTCATTTGAGCTATGATCTAAAAACCTAAAGGGGGATTATGTAGGGGCGGGTTGTATAGGGGATTATTATAGGGGTCAGTGAGGGTGATACTAGGAGTTTAAACTATAGCTCATTTGGATATCTATTAGTCTATCATCGCCGGGATCTGTATCCTCATGTCAGATCAAAGCCAGTGCAGGTTGCTTGGCTCCAACTGATCGGGTCAAAAAGCCCTAAACGCTGACAGCGCAAATCTTTGAACTGTTGGCAGGGCCTAGTGTACCTGGCTCTCAGCGCAGATGCTCGGGCTGGAGTTCCACAACTCTATACTCCTATTTCCTTAGGACTCATTGTGCTAAGTTTGCATTATAGTAAAACCATGTACAACCCTAAGTCCCTAAGTCCCTGTTTTTCATTACAGGTAAAGGGGGATGACAGTATGTCCATATCTTCTACGTGCGTGCTTGGAGGCTTAGAACCGAGAAACTCATGATTTGCTGCTGGGGGAATGCCATAGTCAACAGTATGCGACTTACAAGTGCCCTCCCTGCAGAGGCCTCGCAGAGTTGCAATAGAACCTATCCGCAAAACCATGTCCAATACTCAGTTCGGTTTCCAGAACAGTCACTCCGCGCTCTCCAAATCCTGAAAACGGTCTTTGGAAAGAATTGACATTTTCTTGGAGTTCCGCGAGAAATGATTCGCCGTCACAGCAATCTGGTCAATAATTGTTGAAGTGACCAATGACTTTAGTACTGTTACTATGTCTTTACGATGCGGGAAAGCCGCGCCATTCACGGAAGCGGCAACTAAAGGTCAATCGGACG